GGCGGCGGCGGCGTGAGCGGTGGCGGCGACACTGTGTGAGAGGTGGAGGGAGGCGGAGGCGCGGGCGAGGTGGAGGTGGAAGGCGGCGGAGGCGTGGGCGGCGGCGGCGGCGGTGGGAAGAAGGTGGAGGGTAGCGGCGGCGTGGGCAAGGTGGAGGGCGGCGGCGGCGTGAGCAGCGGTGGCGGCGGTGTGGAGGGGGTGGAGGGCGGCGGCGGCGTGGGCGGTACGGCGGCACGGCGGTAACGGGCGGCAGGGGGGGCGGCGGGCTAAACGGCAAGGGCGGCGCGGCACGGAGGAAGGAGCGGCACGGCAGGGAGGAGCAAGGACGGCGCGGTAACGGCAGGATCACGGATAGGCGTGGCACGGATAGGAGCGAGCGAGCGGCTAGGTGGCGGGAGGGCGAGGCGAGGGCGGCGGCGGGTGGATCACGAGGAGGTAGAAGGTCTGGCGCGAGCGGGGGGGCGAACGGCGAGCGAGCGGCTAGGCGGCGGGGGTGAGGGTGGCGGCGGTGGATCACGAGGAAGTGGAAGCCGAGCGCGAACGTGCGAGCGAGCGGCGAGCGAGCGGCTAGGCGGCTGGAGGGCGAGGCGAGGGTGGAGGCGGTGGATCACGAGGAAGTAGGAGGTCGAGCGCAAGCGAGCGAGCGAACGGCGAGATGGATCACGAGGAAGTAGAAAGTCGGGAGCGGGCGAGCGAACGGCGAACGGCGAGCGAGAGCGGCGAGGCGGCGGGAGGGCGAGGCGAGGGTGGTGGCGGTTCGGATCACGAGGAAGTAGAAAGTCGGGCGGGCGAGCAAGCGGCGAGCGAGCAGCGAGGCGGCGGGAGGGTGAGGCGAGGGTGGATCACGAGGAAGGAGAGATTCGGGCGATCACGAGGAAGTAGAAAGCCAGGCGCGAGCGGGCGAGCGAGCGAGCGGCGGCGGCGTGAGCGACGGCGGCGGCGTGGGCGAGGTGGAGGGCGGCGGCGGCGTGAGTGGCGGCGGCGGCGGTGTGGGGGAGGTGGAGAGGCGCGGGCGAGGTGGAGGGCGGCGGCGGCGTGAGCGAGGTGGGGGGCGGCGGCGGCCTGAGTGGCGGCGGCGGCGGTGTGGGGGAGGTGGAGGGTGGCGGCGGCGTGGGTGAGGTGGAGGGCGGCGGCGGCGTGAGCGGCGGCGGCGGCGGTGTGGGAGAGGTGGAGGGCGGCGGAGGCGCGGGGGAGGTGGAGGGCGGCGGCGTCGTGAGCGGCAACGGCGGCGGTGTGGGAGCGGCAACGGCGGCGGTGTGGGGGAGGTGGAGGGCGGCGGAGGCGTGGGCGAGGTGGAGGGCGGCGGCGGTGAGCGGCGGCGGCGGTGGTGTGGTGGAGGTGGAGGGCGGCGGCGGCCTGAGTGGCGGCGGCGGCGGTGTGGGGGAGGTGGAGGCTGGCGGCGGCGTGGGGGAGGTGGAGGCTGGCGGCGGCGTGAGTGGCGGCGGCGGCGGTGTGGGGGAGGTGGATGGCGGCGGAGGCGCGGGCGAGGTGGAGGGCGGCGGCGTCGTGAGCGGCGGCGGCGGCGGTTTGGGGAAGGTGGAGGTCGGCGGAGGCGCGGGCGAGGTAAATCCATGGTATTGCGCCTCGGCGAGCGTCCGTGCAAAGTGTACTAACCCCCCCCCCCCCCGGAAAAAGAACTAGGTGCTCGCGTGCAGCAAATGCACGACGAGGTGCACGACGAGCTAGCTAACACCGTGGCGGAGACCGGCGGTCTTCCCCATGCGGTGTGGACAGCGGCCGGGCGAGGCGACGAGGCGGCGCTGCTGTCGTGGCTCGAAAGCGGCGGGCGGGTCAATGCGACTTGCATGCTACGCGATGTGAGCGGCGTCACCGCGCTGATGCTCGCCGCCCAGGAGGGCCACGAGCGGGCGGTCGAGCTGCTGCTTCAGCGCGGCGCGGAGGTCAACCTGCAGAAGAGCGACGGCTACACCGCGCTGATGCTCGCCGCCATCGAAGGCCACGAGTGGGTGGTCGAGCTGCTGCTTCGGCGCGGCGCGGAGGTCAACCTGCAGAACAGCGACGGCTACACCGCGCTGATGCTCGCCGCCATCGAAGGCCACGAGCGGGTGGTCGAGCTGCTGCTTCGGCGCGGCGCGGAGGTCAACCTGCGGAAGAGCGACGGCTACACCGCGCTGATGGGCGCCGCCATCGAAGGCCGCGAGCGGTTGGTCGACCTGCTGCTTCGGCGCGGCGCGGAGGTCAACCTGCAGAACAGCGACGGCTACACCGCGCTGATCCTCGCCGCCTTCAACGGCCACGAGCGGGTGGTCGAGCTGCTGCTTCAGCATGGCTCGGGTGTCAACCTGCAGAACAGTATCGGCTTCACCGCGCTGATGGGCGCCGCCGCCAACGGCCACCGCGCCACCGTGCTCCGCCTGCTGCGGGCGGGCGCGGATACGAAGCTGCGCTCTGCGAAGGGCGTGTCCGCACTGCAGTACGCCAGGGGGCAGGGCCACAGCGAGTGCGTCGAGGCCTTCCGGCAGCACATCGCGGAGGTGACTGCGAGCCGGCGCGAGGCGGCGGCGGGCGGCGCGGACGGCGCTTCCTCGGGCGAGGCGGCGGCGGGAGCGGGGGCCGCGGCCTCTTCCGGCTCACTGGGCAGCCTTCCCAACGAGGCGGTGGCAGCAGCTCTCCAAGGCGACGAGGCGGCGCTGCTGGCGTGGCTCGACAGCGGCGGGCGGGTCAATGCGACTTGCCGGGCGGGCGATCTGAGTGGCGTCACCGCGCTGATGTACGCCGCCACCAACGGCCGCGAGCGGGTGGTCGAGCTGCTGCTTCAGCGCGGCGCGGATGTCAACAAGCAGAACAGCAACGGCAGCACCGCGCTGATCCTCGCCGCCAGCAAAGGCCGCGAGCGGGTGGTCGAGCTGCTGCTTCAGCGCGGCGCGGATGCCAACCTGCAGAGCAGCATCGGCGACACCGCGCTGATGCGCGCCGCCGCCAACGGCCACCCCGCCATCGTGCTCCGCCTGCTGCGGGCGGGCGCGGGTACGACGGCGTGCGATGCGCGCGGCAGGACGGCGCTACAGATGGCCAAAAGCAAGGGCCACAGCGAGTGCGTGCGCGCCCTCGAGAAGCGCACGGCAGCGCATGCAGCGGCGAAGGAGGCAGCGCAGGCAGCGGCGAGGGCGGTGGAGAGTGCGGCGGCAGAGGCGGAGGCGACGCGGCATGCCGAGGCGCTGCTGGCGGAGGAGGAGGCGGAGAAGGAGGCGGGGCGCGCCAAGGAGAGCAAGAAGGGGAAGAAGAAGAAGAAAAGGGGAGGGGTGGCGGCGGAGGCGCTGGGCCGTCGCAGGAGCCCGAGGATGAGGCGGAAGATGCGGGAGAGGGCGAGGCGGCGGCGGCGGTAGAAGAGGCGGAGCTGGCGGCGGCGCTCGAGGAGAGCGCGAGGCTGGAGGGAGCGAGGCCGGTGGTGGAGGAGCGGACGCTTGTCGCTGCGACCGAGGGCGGCTCGCCGTCGGCTGCAGAGGCGCCGGCTGCGAAGGAGGAGGAGCCGCCGGCCGACTTCATCTGCCCGATCACGACCGAGATCATGGTCGAGCCAGTCGTGGCGGCCGACGGGCAGTCGTATGAGCGGACGGCGATCGAGCGCTGGCTCGCGACCAAGTCGACGAGCCCTCTGACGGGCGGCGAGCTCGAGCATAGCATCTTAATCCCGAACCACAATTTGCGCCGGACGATTCGAGAGTGGCAGGAGGCGCGGACGGCACTTTGAGCCCCCAGTGAAGATTAGCATCTAGCGCAACGGGGGGCAAGGGACCTAACTACCAAGCGGTGCCCAAGCCCGCGCCGCGCAGCGCCGGGGAACGCGATCCCTCGCGAGCGTGCTTGATGTGAGACATGTTGCATGTGCAGTTCCTTGGCTTGTTGCATGCCAGCGCGGGCTGCCGGGACGCACCGCTCGCGCGTTCGGCACACTCAGTGGACCCCACCGAGTGTGCCGAACCAACTGGAGTGGGTAGGCTCGACGCCGCGCTCGCTGTGGGGCTGCAGCAAACTCGCCGCCGAGCGTGCCATCGAAGGCGTCCCGGCGGAGGTGATGGAGTGTGAGACCTGAGGCTACGGAGGTGACGCCTGAGGTACCGGCCCGTGCACAGCGACTCAGCCGGCTACCGCCACGGGCTCAGACGAGACCTGTCGACGCGTTCCGGCTCAGCTTCACCGTGGTCATCGGGCGTCTGTCGACGTCAGGACCACCCATGCAGCTCGCGGGTTTGAGGTCGCAAGAGCCAAGATGGTGGCGTTTGGACATCCCAACCATCACACAAGACAGCCTGTAGGTGATGGCGGGACGGCGCAGTGTTTGTGGCACTCGGCAGTAGGCACCCGCGGCACGGCCCCGCTGTCGGCTCTCGCGGGCTGCGGAACCGGCCCCAGAAGGGGACGGTCCGGGCGAGTGTGGCAGCTCCTGCGCTAGTATGGGCACCCTCTATCACAACATTACTGATCCTGGTCATTAGAGCTGCCAGGGATAGCGTCAGGAGCCGGTAGGAGTCAAAACCCCTCACATATTTGAGACATCGTGGGGCCTAAGGTAAGGTAAGGTAAGGTAAACTTCTCCACACACACGAGGTGGTGGGGCAAGGGGGGGCAACCCTCGCGTCTCCACGTCTGACGACAGGAGCCCCACGGCATTCAAAGTGCAAGGCCCAGTGCGCGTGGGTGAGCGGTGTGTGTGTGTGTGTGTGTGTGTGTGTGTGTGTGTGTGTGTGTGTGTGTGTGTGTGTGTGTGTCACGTCACTGCATCCTCCGCCGGTTCCTCCCGTCGCCTCTTCTTTGTTCGAATGTTTTTCAATCCATCCTTCACGAAGCCCTCCCATGTAGCTAGCGTTCTTGGCGAATGTCTCCGGGCGAGTGTGGCAGCTCCTGCGCTAGTATGGGCACCCTCTATCACAACATTACTGATCCTGGTCATTAGAGCTGCCAGGGATAGCGTCAGGAGCCGGTAGGAGTCAAAACCCCTCACATATTTGAGACATCGTGGGGCCTATATATGGCTAGTTCCAATTCAGAGTCTGACACGCTAATCTTGAAAACGCGTCCAACGGAGCTCCGTGTTGCTCCCAGCGCCCTCCCCCGAGCTTCCTGCGGCCATGGCCGGTGCTACTAGTATGGGGGGCTACCTGGCTACCGCGAGCGCGACCCAACTCGTCGACATCGTCCGATGATGGTGCCGCAAAGTCAGCCTCCGGAGGCTATCGTGGGGTCGAGCCGGCAGTAGCCGCGACATGTGGTTCCACCACCCCTCGTAGGCTTTGCGTCTGCTCGCCACCGTTCCCATGCTG